TTATAACATGGTCCTCCTCGAATGGGGTGGCACAAAACATTTCCTTGCATTTCCTTTTGGGGAACAGATAAGGAACTGCATTATTAGGTATGCCAGAATATAATCTGGTCCCTTTCTTCCTCTTTACTTTCTTCACTTCTTTTTCTTTTCTGATAACCTTCAAATGGGGTTATCAGGATTATGTCAATCATACAAGGAAAAGAATGCAATCAGAAGGTATACCAGAAACAGCAGCAGAAATGATGATATTCATTCAAATAGCTGGACCTGGAAGTGTGAGCAGGAAAATTCTCACATCTAGTGTTTTTTGCTCTACAGGAAGGTGGAATGAATTGTCAAGTCGAACTAGAACTCATGAAATGTTAATTAAATACTCTCAATTAATGAAAACACAAAAGTGATGTGTGATTTATAACTTGATTTTATACGCTGTCAACTGCAATTTGTAAAACCACAGGTCCCCCTGGTCTCAGGGAACTCCATTTATATGTTGTAAACGCCATGGTTATATCACCTTATAACGTCCTTGCTGTACTTGATACCTTGTTTAACTCCAGTGTCCTGCACTGTCTGTCTCATGCTAGATAAGAAATCACATACCCCACAGATGCCCTGTATAAATGTTCTTGAACCCCCTGACCAGGACTGATAGCTTTGGGTGACGTCTAGCTTTGGTCCACTGGTTGAACCCATGGGTATAAATAAACTTCCTTACTCTCCCACCGCAAGACTGGGTCTTCATGTGTTTGATTAAGCAAACTTCAATTACAACACAAAAACTTCAGTGAGAGAAAGCAGGACTTTCTGATGGAGGTATCAGTCAAGATTCTCCAGATGGTGATTCTGCTGTGACTTTCATAACATCCTCTTTCATGCGGCTTGGAATCTAGTTTGGCACCTTCTCTTTGCAAGGTAAGATGGGGGAAATGAACTGTTAGGACTTAAAAGGTTTTCTTTCATTTTCTGAGGTCCCTGTGGGGTAGAGGAGAGACAGCCAGGGGTGATTCTTTTGTTTGGCCCCCTGCCCTGTGGTCATACTTGGCTAATATTACTAGAGGCTATAGAGGCAGGAGCCAGACCTCACTAGAAAAGGAACACTGCATTGATTCCTCAGGAATGACTATGTTGCAAAATAGCCTGGCAAGAGCGAGAGATGGAGGCATATACTCAGAGGAACAAGTTAAAACTAGATTTTTTAGCACTGGTGCTGGCCCAGCTGAGTTACCTCCAAAGGCTAAGCCCCTGATTACCTTTACACAAGGTTTATCCCAAACCGGGGAATGGTCTGTGCTGGGAATTTGTGGCCGGAGATGGAGAGTCAGCAAAGTTACACATGACGGGTTGATAGAGTACATCAAGACGTCAGGGTGATGCATTATATAGATATGATAAAAGCAGGACTTGGAATAGGCATTCGTGGCAGTGGTAATGAGCATAAAGTGAGAATAGGATATTCCTGATAACTTTTCAGTATCTGTATTGCAAATCACAATGCCGAGAGAGAGAGAGAGAGAGAGAGAGAGAGAGAGAGAGAGAGAGAGAGAGACAGAGACAGAGACAGAGACAGAGACAGAGAGACAGAGAGAGACAGAGAGAGGTGCCTGCCATAGAGCCAGGCTGGGAGGTGAAGTGAGGAGGTGATGAAAGGGAAACTGACGACACTGGTGCTGGGAAATGTACAGTGGTGCAGGGATGGGTGCTGGAACACTGTATGAGTGAAACTTCATCATGAACAGCTTTGTAAGGGTCTATCTCACAGTGATTGGGGCTGGAGCTATAGCACAGCAGGTAGGGCGTTTGCCTGGCACACAGCCAACACGGCTGACCCGAGTTCTATTCCTCTACCCCTCTCAGAGAGCCCAGAAAGCTACCAAGACTATCTTGCCCGCATGGCAAAGCCTGGTAAACTACCCGTGATGTATTCGATATGCCAAGTACAGTAACAAGTGTCACAATGTTACCGGGCCCACTCAAGCAAATTGATGAACAACAGGAGGACAATGACAGTGATCTCACAGTGATTAAAAAAATTTTTTAAAGGAATTATCTCTTTGTTATTCCATCCCCCAACCCCCACTAGAATGTTAACTCTGGATGAATCAAAACATTTAACATGTTCAGCCAATTTATTCCTATACAATTATGTGATACTTTCTCCACCTTTCACCATTCATAACTTTTACAGAAAAAATATGCATTTCTAGAAGGTTTTGGGGGTATTTTTTGAATAGCATGCAGAGATCTAATCACTATAAGAAACTCCTGACTCTGAAACTGTGGGTGGTGGATTGAGTTTCCAGATCTGTGCAGACACTCTGGTTCCATCAGCTCCACAAAAGAAATCATGAGGCTGCATATGAGATACATTCCAGAAGGGAAGAGCTGTGAGCTCACATCTCAGGTAGAGATGCAGGCCTCACAGAATGGGTTAGTGTCTCACTTTCCTTCGCAGATTTAATTCTATGGGTTTTCTTTCAAACCACCCCTACAGAGGGGCTTTCTACAGAGATAAGAGTCTCTTGCCATGGGGAAGAGTTCAGAACTTTTGAGGGTTCACCTTCATGTCCCTATTACAATCAATTGCTTTTCTTGGAGCTTCCTAAAGGGTGTGTGTGTGTGTGTGTGTGTGTGTGTGTGTGTGTTGGGGGGTGGGGTGATGTTCATCCCTCTCTGGGCCTGTGCTGGCACCAGTTAATCTTAACAGATCTCAGTTACTGTATCCACAAAGTGGGTCTGATCATCTGGCTTTTGGCTACTTTAGGACTAATGATAGAGAAGCCTCTTTAAATTCTATCTTGGTTTTATTACTTCTTGAAAATTCATTGCCATGCCCCAACCCTAATACACCTGCCTACCTCACCTGAGCAGAGGGTAGAACTAATTTTCCTTTTCTTTTAAAGGAGGCATCTTTATTCCAGCCTGACTACAGCTCTACAAGAGCTCAGGTAGTGGAGACCAGTTCCCGCACCATGGGGATCATATGGATGTCACGTGCACTTTGTTGTCCACCAAGTGATGCTGATGAGAGTTGAGCATTCACACTGTGCAGGGGTTTCCTGGCAGACTTCACAGTTCCAGTGCGCTTGGAAATTCCCTGGGTTACGGAGGTGAGTCAATCGAGAAGGTGATAGCACCTTCTCTTGAGGATATTACATCCCATGCTCTCCACTTTGCCCATGGATATAATTTACCAGGAGAGCTTTTGAGAAACCACTGTTCTCCAATCTAAAACAACTGACATAGCATTAGGGTTTCACCAGTTTGGGGGGCATCTGGTTTCAGGGATCAAAGTAAAGCTCCAGCATTCAAGGCAGACACTGCAACTCTACGAGATATCTCCCTGGCTATCCCACCATAGATAGTTTTATTGAAGGAGGAAATTAACTTTGCGGAGGATGTGGAGTTACCCAGAGAGAAAGGGAAAAAAAAGATGAAAAACAAAAAAGTAAAGAAAAATTGTACTTCAACAAATATGCATTCATAAAAAATTTTAAATTAAATACAGCGGAGACAGTAGCACTGTTCATTGTTCATCGATTTGCTCGAGCGGCCCAGCAAGTTGAATAAGTCCATTGTGAGACTTATTGTTACTGTGTTTGGCATATCGAATGCTTCACAGGTAGCTTGCCAGGCTTTGCCGTGCGGGAGAGATACTCTCAGTAGCTTGCCAGGCTCTCTGAGAGGGGCAGAGGAATCACGGAGGAAATGAACCCGAATGTTGGAAAAAAGAAGGAAAAATAGACAAAGGCAATACCTGAATGGCATACTATAAAAAAGAGATCAAGTACCCAAAATTGGGACCCACATAACCCCACAGTGAACTATACCAACCCACTTTGGAAAGCTGATTTTATAGGTTTTCTATTTTTTCCAAAGTGCCTCAGCATTACCTGAGGGTCACTGCTAGAAAATACTAAAACAAAGACAATATTAGCTCTGGGGATCCTTTGTATTCAGAATCTCATAAGGGCCTTTGTTCTTGCTGAATTATCTCCTAAAGGGGTCAGTCATCGAGATAGATTTGGACTCAGCCTCTTGGTCTTTTAAGCTGGTCTTAAGTTTGGAATGATAGTTTGAGAGTCTCCAGGACGGGGCAGGACAAGGAAAATCATTTTAAGATCACAACTTGGTTTTATGCTAATTCTTAAATACTTTACCAAGAGGCCCCTCAACCCTACTTCAAAACAAAGCAAAACACATAATTTTCCATAGCCTTTTTAGAAGTTGCTTGGCTTTAAGTTTAAGAAGAACCCTTGCCCTTCACCCATAATTCCTCATGCCTCAAGGAAAGGTGATCTCACATACACATTAAGCTGAAACAACAATGAATGCTAAAATTCATTTATTAAAGGAAACCAAGACTTCAGTTTCATGTCAGATATAAAACTGCATTATGCCACATGAACAGAGAATCATATATTTAAGTTGGGAAGTTTTTGCCTGAATGTGTACAGAACTTTCAAATTCACAATGAGAAGATAACTGTTCTGTATAAAACAATTAATACTACATTTTATTCTAAAAATGGCAACACAAATAAACAATCACATAAGTCCAACAACATCCTGCTCCCCAAATGACATTAAAATTAGAACCCAGGTTCTTATTTCATAATAAGGTCGGCGATGAGACTAAGTAAAGTAAAGGCCCTCCCGTTGATCATCGATTTGCTTGAGCGGGCCCAGTAACGTCTCCACTGGAGACTTTGTTGTTACTGTGTTTGGCATATCGAATACATCACGTGGAGCTTGCCAGGCCCTGCTGTGCGGGCGAGATACTCTCAGTAGCTTGCCGGGCTCTCCGAGAGGGGCGGAGGAATCGAACTTGGGTTGGCCATGTTGGCTGCGTGCAAGGCAAACGCCCTACCGCTGTGCTATCGATGAGACTAAGAATTTTTATTTCTAATAAAATTCCAGGTGATGCAACGCAGCTGGCCTAGGGAACACACTTGGAGTATCTTTGTTTTTGAGGATGATGGATTTCAAGATGCAAAGACCCAGGGAAAATGAATGCGAATTTTTAGACTCTGAATGTGACAGGATTTTCAAGGAATGACATTATGCAGCAAAAAAATCATTACAACCCATCTCCTAAAAATGTTATTTGAAACAGATAAGCTTGAGAAATCTTTATTTTAGAGGCAGATATGGAAAGAGGATTCAGAGCTAAAAAGGTGTCCATCTTTTTGAGTCACCTTCTCTGAATCATATTCAGTGACAGTCTCATAGCTTGCAGCCAGCCAAGTATTTGGATAAATCCTTGCCTTTGCAGTGTTTGACCCAGGCATTCCTAAGGATGTAGAAATAAACCCATATTAGAGGCAGAAAGACATCTTCGAGGAACTCAAGGCCTGTAGACTGGTATAATACACGTGAGAGAGGTTCAGAAAGGGAGGGCTTGCTAAACCATCTAAGAAGGCGATATGGATTGAACACCAGTGCTTCCAGGGTGGAAAGCATCAAAATTTAGTTTTGCCTGACTTACTTTACATCAGGAGTGCAGTTTCGATTCCATAAAAGGTGTGAGGAAAATTATATAGTACTTGTGTTGCTTACAAAACACCCCAGATGCGATCTGAGCCCAGTTTAGGCAAAGTGGCTAATCTTAGCCCTCTGCAGTCAACCTCTTACCAGGCATTCATCTTGTTTGGATCTTTCACTATTCTTTTGATACAGGTGATGTCATCATCAATGTCGTCATCCAAGAGTTCTAAAAATGAAAGTAGAAGGGTCAAGCAAGATAAATTTCTTTTTTTCTGTTCTACCAGTCTTATTTGGGGAGGAAAGAGTCTCCATAGTTTTGCTCTTGAGTACAAAGGCTCCCAGAATGGCACCTAGCCTGGTGATGACTGGTATGGCTTGGAGGAGTACAGGGACTGCCAGGCAAGGCCGGCAACACTCAGGAGTAGAAGCAGTGCTAGAGCCTGAATTTCAGGCCTGGGGTATGCAAAGTATACACCCCAATATCTCCTCAGTCCCCAAAAATCAATCATGATTTGAGGAAGACTTCCTCTAGGAGGTTGAGCCTGATACACCTGATATTGATGAGCCCTCTAGGACTCTTTCCCAGGTTTGACATTCATGTTGCCTGTTTCTTGTTGTTTGTTCATTTGTTTGTTTTTCCATTTTCAGGGAATGTTTTTGAGCACTATTTTTGAGAAGAATCAGGGAGTGCCTTCATTCTTGGGAAACTGCATACTAACTGTGACCAAGAGCTCTAGGAGTGGGTATGTGGAAAGAAAAGGAAAGTTGTATGTGCTGGGAAAAGAATGCAATTTCCTAAGTGACAGGTCCTGTGAAAACAAGGTTTACTAAGTCCCCTTCGACAGTGTAACAATATCTTCATTTTTAGAAGGGGGATCTAGGTAGAATCCTGTTTTAGGGTAGGTTAGTTTAGTGAGTTTTATTTCCTACACTCAGTTTTCTTTTCTAATAGCACACATACCTAGATTTATCAGGGACACAAGAAAATGGGGTCTGGAAGGGGCAGCAGGTCACATAGGAACACCCTAAGTGACACCTAGTTTTGGGGCCACACACGTAGAAACACTCTATGAGTCTGGGAAGGGGCCAGCTGAGAAAGTAAAAAATCAATAGAGAGACAAGGCTAGTCACTGTCACAGTCCTCTCTGGAAGGCATAACCAGTTAGGTCCTCGGCGCACCACTTCCTGGGCCATCACACTCAACTCCCCCACATCAGAGAGGGAACCCCCATGGACCTGTCACTTAGGAAATTGCATTCTTTTCCTGGCACACACAACTTTCCTTTCCTTTCCACATACCCACTCCTAGAGCTCTTGGTCACAGTCAGTATGCAGTTTCCTGAGAATGAAGGCACTCCTTGATTCTTTTCCGGCCACCACAGACCCTGTGCTGGAGCAATAGCACAGCGGTAGGGCATTTGCCTTGCATGCAGCCAGGCCGGCCGAGCCGGGTTCGATTCCTCTGCCCCTCTCGGAGAGCCCGGCAAGCTACCGAGAGTATCTCACCCGCACGGCAAAGCCTGGCAAGCTACCCGATATGCTAAACACAATAGCAAGAAATCTCAAAAGGGAGACATTACTGGGTCCGCTCGAGCAAAATCGATGAACAATGGAAGGACTCAGTTTTCTAGGCATACCCTGAAAGTCAGATATTAGGGATGACCTATTTTAACTTCCTCTCTTTATACAGCCTTCAAAGGGAAAAAAGTACTTACTGCTGCATGCTATGTTGCACCCATTTTTTGACGAACGCTTGTTGTCTTTGCACCACCATTTGTTGTTCACCTGGAATATCCCATAGTCAATGGTACCATCAGAATTTTTTGTATTGAGGGCGCTGGTATTGAACTTACTCTCGTGCTTAGCCATGCAGACCCCTGTGTTAAGGAACAAGTTAAAGAAAAGAGAAAGTGCTCCATTACGAGAGATAACTTGTGATGTACAAGTGACTCAAGTCGTTTTTTTTTTCCCTTTATTGTATTTTATTTTTTTTTAAAGTTGTAGATTTACAATTTTTTGTGCTTGGGTTTCGATCATACAATGATCAGATACCCATCCCTCCACCAGTGCCCATTTTCCACCACCATGGATAATATCCCTCCCACCCCCATCCCCCCATCCCCCCGTCTCTGTGGCAGGGCAATCCCCTGTGTTCTCTCTCTCCTTTTGGGTGTTGTGGTCTGCAAAAGAGGCATTGAGTGGCAAACATGTTCAGTCCATAGTCTACTTTCGACATGCATCTCCCCTCCTGGGAGGATCCTCCTAACACCCTTTATTTGGTGCTCCCTTCTCTATCTGAACTGCCCTTTCCCCTAGAATACCCGACTGGCCTCTAAGTTATGGAGTAATCCTCCTGGTGCTGGTCTCAGCTATTCTTGGGTATTAATCTCTTATCAAGTAGTTTTTTAACCCACTGTAACAGCAGAGGTTCATTTCCTTGGCTGCTGAAGGTCCAAGCAATTGACAGACATCGTGATAGGTCAAGAAAAAACTTTGTTGGCAATCAGCTAGCAGTTTGGGATATGAAAGAGTCATATTCTCAAAACAATCATCTTGTGGTCACAAGAAGATTTTTTAATAAGGAAAAAACAGGGAAGATAATGTAGATTATAGACCAATGGTAACCAAAATAGCAATAAAATCTCCTTGTGGTCTGGTTTTCTGAAAAATATCCTGTATTAGCTCAAAATCTAAACAAAATAAAGGTTAGGCTTCTGGGGAAGCGTAAACTGAGGATAAACTGTCTTTATCTTTAGGCTTCAGAGAAAGCATTTATCCTTGTTTAATATAGATATTTGGCCTAGTTTCAACATTAGAATGATATAGACTTAGAGGTTCTCAGTGTCAGTTATGATTCACAATAAATTTTGTATTCCAGAGTACTTATTTACTCTGGTAATTATAATTTAATTATGATAGCTATTTATTAACTAATGCATTTTGATAAATAATAATTAGTAGTCAATCATAATCATTCCTCACTCTATCTACCTAAACATATATCCCAGAAATTACCATTCATGACATGTGTATTTGCTGTTGCTCTAAGGTAAGGCAAGAGAACAGGTGGAGAGACAGGGGAGGAGAATATTAAAAAGTGCTAAAAAACAATCTTGATAGCGACAAGAAAGAGCATGAAAAAAATAAACGTTTGAGGGAAATTGAATAAGCTCATGTTTTCTTCCAGTGAAATGGCAAACTGAATTTCTTTGCTTTTATAACTATCCTCATTAAATCTATTATAATACTAGTAGATTAAAATTTAGATTCACTTATCAAATGTGAATTATGTTTGGCGGGCAAGGCTCATGGAAGAGTGAGAGATAGTACTGATTATTGTCCAGATATACGGACTGAAAGGGATATGGCTGGTGACAAACACTATGGCAGCCAAAATGAAATCTCAACTAGTCTCTGTGTATGTTCAAGAAAATTCCAAAGCAAAGGGTGGGAAGTTATTTGGGAGACAAGCAAATCTTTTAAAGATACAAATGACAGGGCAAACAGACTCAAGACATGAAAAGTGTGCAGGGGAGAGGGAGAGAGCTCTGACAATTGAGAGAAATGAAAGAGATAAGGCTTGGTTGAGACATAGACTCTTTGAAGATGTGTGAAAAGCACAGATGTGGGACTCATACTTACAGTTTGCCAAGCTGTAACTATGAAAGTTATCCAGTCCCTGGGCCTTCAGCTTTTTGGCTAGCTCACATTGAGAGAAAACTTTGGCATCATATCTTGCAAAGAAGTAGCTGAAGAGGAAGACAATCAGCATGGACCTCATTTTGGCAGTTTGTAGAATGCAAGACTAGCACATTCAGAATTCTGTTGTCTTTTATATCATTTGGAAACAAAGCGTCTTTGAGTGAGCAATCAAGCTGTCATCTCTACCAGGAACAATTCAGCTGCCTAGTGGTAATTCCCCAACAGTGTGAACTTCAAGGAAGAGGATTTAACCAAGAGCAAAGTCTTCAATGGGTGTGGATATTAAGTTTCTTAAAATGTCCAGAGAGGGGAAATGTTGTGATGAAAGTGATTTGGTAACAGAAAGAAGTATGATTTCTCACTGAGTGCCAAAACATTTTGGACATTTTGTAGAGACATCCCCAAAAGGGCTTGTTCCTTGTGCTTTGCTGAACTTTGACTATTTCTGTGTTTTTTGGAGGTATATCCCTAGTCAGTGTAGATTAAATCCATGATGGACATAAGTGGGACTGAAGGAACTTGGATTTTCTGGCAGTTTTAATCAGTAAAATGAGGTTTAAACAGGAGATCACTAGAACCCACTTCTTAAGATTGCCATGTCTGAAGGAAGCGATCTGGTCTAAATCCCAATCTATATTGTGTTCTCTCTACTATCTGGGATGCCATTTCATCAAACATCTTGATGTTTGTATCCTATGGAGAAAATAGAGTCAATAGGATTGATTTTTTTATTTGTTGATTTATTATAGGAAAATTATTTCACGTGACTATGGAGAAATCCAGATTCAGAAGAACTGATGCTATAAATTCTATCTAATCTAAGTGGTTTTAAGTCTGAAAACAGGACAAGAACTCATATCCCAACTGGAATATATATAGTTTTATATACACATATGCAGGGCTAGAGTGATAGCACAGCGGTGGGGCGTTTGCCTTGCACGCAGCCAACATGGCCGACCCGAGTTCGATTCCTCCGCCCCTCTCGGAGAGCCCGGCAAGCTACCGAGAGTATCTTGCCTGCTAGGCAGAGCCTGGCAAGCTCCCCGTGATGTATTCAATATGCCAAACACAGTAACAACAAAGTCTCCAATGGAGACGTTACTGGGCCCGCTCAAGCAAATCGACGAACAACGAGAGGGCCTTTACCTTTTACACATATGCATACATACATATATATATAGCATACATGTATATAGAGAACTACTTATTTTTATTAAGACTTTTCTTCTAAGTGGTCCTCCAGTGGACTGAATGTGGCCTATCTATATTGGGCAAAGCAATAATTTTTACTTAGTCTGTTAACTCAAATATTCAACTTATCCAGAAGCATTTTAGAGAGCTGCTCAAAATAATATTTAATTAGGCATCTGAGTACAACGTTTTCTGGTAAAATTGACCAATAATTTGACCATCGTAATTTTATTGAGACAGTATAATGAATGATACTTTGAGTCAACCGTTTTCCATCCTGAAATTTGTCTTCACAACTTCTCCTTCCCATTTCCAATACTTATTAGCCATGTAGTGAGTTCCAATGCTATTAATGAAACTTATTTCCATTTTTGTACATTTGGGGTTACAAAGTTCCAAGTACAAAATTCCAAACAAAACATCCCTCACTCCTTTTTGTTTGTTTTGGGGGACCAAGCTGGTAATACTCAGCTGGTCAGAGGTTATTTTTATATGTCCAGTGGAACACAGAACTCAAGGCCCCCATATGCAAAGCATGTACTCTAGACTCTGGGCAATCTTTTTTGCTTTTTAGAATATTTCTTATATTGAAGTCAGAGGAATATTACAGGGAGTAAGACATTTGCCATGAATGTGATATCTGTAACCTCATATGGGGCCTTGTGCATCACCAGTAGTGATCCCTGAGCACAGGGCCAAAAGTAAGACATGGACACTGATGGATGGGGCCAAATCACAACAGAAAATATGTTTTCTTTGATTGATGCAGAGACAGAGTCTTCATATCCTCTCTTTCAGCCTGTCTCAGGTAGAGAAACAAGTCTGTTCACCACATAGTCATTGTTATTAAGAGCCTACTGTGGCTCAGAAGAGGTACAAAGCATATTGCCTATATTTTGTTTAATAAATTAATTTATTTTGGGAGGCCGCATCTGGTGGTGCTCAGGCCTTACTCCTGGCTCTGCACTCAGGGATTATTTCTGGAGGGCTTGAAGAACCATTGGGGTACTGGGGATCAATTCCAGGAGGACCGTTTGCAATGCAAGCACTTTGCCTGCTGTACTATGTCTCCAGGCCCCTATGGTTGCCTATTTTTAAAAGCTATTTAATCCTCATATTAATACTATGAGGAGAAACTGGTGTACACTTTTTGTGTGTTGGATTCATTTATGGATAAGGAACTGAAACAAAGAGATTAGCCAACTTTCTGTATGCCATGCAATGAATTAATGGAGTTGGAGACTGAGTTTAGATATTCTCTTTTAATGACTATACAGAATGTTTTCCATAGACCAATATTTAAGCTTTTAATGATTCCTGCTATTATCCTACCTCAAGTATGTATTACCTGTCTGACAAGAGTTTTTCTATCTCTTGCCCATTTCTAGTCTCGCCAGCAATTTTTCTTTTTTCTTTCTTTCCTTTTTGTTTTTGGGCACACCTGACAGTGCTTAGGACTTACTCCTGACTTCATACTCAGATATCACTCTTGGGGGCTTGGGGACCATATGGGGTATTGGAAATGGAACCCAGGCCAACCTTGTACAAAGCACATGCCTGACCCCCTGTACTATCTCTCCGGCACCCCAAATTTTCTTAATCACTTGGTTTGAGTTAAATAAACAAAACCTAAAATTTTCTATGCATTTACTTAACTTTTTACTTTTTTGGGAAAAAATGTTATATAAAGGATAGCACAGCGGGTAGGGCGTTTGCCTTGCACGCAGCCAACATGGCCGACCCGAGTTCGATTCCTCCGCCCCTCTCGGAGAGCCCGGCAAGCTACCGAGAGTATTCGATATGCCAGACACAGTAACAACAAAGTCTCCAATGGAGACGTTACTGGGCCCGCTCGAGCAAATCGACGATCAACGGGAGGGCCTTTACCTTACCTTACCTTAAAGGACACTAAGGCAGATTACATTTTAAGGAGATTAAATTTTAGGGAGATCAAATCTGCCACAAATATCTGCAAGGGGACACTAACATCAGCCCCCACAAGGCTGCCATCAAGCTGCACTTGAAGTTCACTTGATCTGTAGAGTGAAACTTGATCTGCAGCATCAGGATTTCAGGGGAATCCATGGTACGGGGATGGATGAGGGATTGTTCTATTCAGGTCCCTCAGGTATGTCATCTACTTGCACAGAAAAGGATTTCAGGAGAGCTGAATAGTGCAGTAAAATAGTTTTGTTTCAAAAATAAGAAGGTGGCAGAGAGAATAAGGGGGAGAGAAGATGTATGAGAGAGAAAGAGAGTGGAGATAGTAGAGAGAAAGAACTTTTGGTGGTCTTACCATGGTTAGACCTTAGCAGGTTTGTTCCTGCTGAAATTTCTTTTTTTTTCTGAGGTTATTCACACCCAGTTTGTATTGGGGTCACCAGGGCCACTCCTGACACATCTGCTCTCCTATGTGTCATATCCCAGACACTTGCATTTCACTCTTACCATTATTACTAAACTGAATGGGGCCACCTTTTGTTGTGTGCTGAGTGAAATTGTACAACCTGGGAGGGAAGAGGCAAAAGAGAGGCTGGCTGCTGGCAGCGGTCACCTTTATGCATTGAACCATCGGATTACCTTCCTGACTGAGGAGAATTGATGGGAATCAGTGGTTCACATGCCTGGGAAGGAAGGAAACTGGGTAGTTTGTTCCTGGGTGTTGTTTTTATTCTATGCCTGAGTGAGGGTCATATTATGTTGCAAGATTTTCAGAAAATGGTACATTGTTTTCCCCCGGGTGGAAATGGTGGAGTTTTCAATCACCGCAGATTAGCTCCTCTGATTTATGCAATGCTCTGCTTGTGATTCTTGGATCATCAGTAGAAACATCTGACTTTAAACCTGTTGGCTTTAATTTATTTCAGGAAGCTCCAAGACAAGAATCGCTGGGCATAGAAATTATTCTACAACAGGGGCAGAGTTTAAAAATACCAAGACCTGATGGTGGTGCTTTCTGTACCTGGCTTTTACAGAAGAACCCTTTCCAAGGTCTCAGTGCAGGTTCTTGAATGTCCTCAGGAAATATTTGCATGGAACTGGAATGGCAGCACAGCTGGTAAGACACTTGCCTTGCTCTCCACCAAGCTGGGTTCAATTTCCCGGCACCCAGTATGATCCCGTGAGCCCACCAGGAATGATCCCTGAGCACAGCGTCAGAAATAAGCCCTGAACACAGCCAGATGTACCTTCCCCTGTCCCCTACAAAAAAAAAGAAAGGAAGGAAGGAAGGGAGGGAGAGAGGGAGGGAGGGAGGGAGGGAGGAAGGAAGGAAGGAAGGAAGGAAGGAAGGAAGGAAGGAAGGAAGGAAGGAAGGAAGGAAAAGAAAAAGAAAAAAATTGTCTTGCTGATTGTGCGAGAGCCTTTCTTGTCGAAGGGCAACAAAGCAGCGGAGCAGGGAACCCCAGGGGAGCTCTCCCTCGGAGTAGAGGGTCAATTTGCTCTGCCCTGGAATCTGCTTTGCCATGCAGTCTGCAGCCCAGTGTTTTGAAGAGGGATGAGTTTTCACGGTTGTCAAACACATTCAGCTTCCTTGTGATCATATTTGATCTGGTGTGGAACTCTTCCTTGTGGCATGCACACAGAGATTTGAGGGATACTTCACTGTCACTGTCATTGTCCTCCCGTTGTTCATCGATTCGCTTGAGCGGGCCCAGTAACGTCTCCATTGTGACACTTGCTACTGTGTTTGGCATATTGAATCCGTCACAGATAGCTTGCCAGGCTTTGTTGTGTGGGCGAGATACTCTCGGTAGCTTGCCGGGCTCTCCGAGATGGACAGAGGAATCAAACCTGGGTCAGCCGGGTTGGCTGTGTGCAAGGCAAACACCCCACCCGCTGTGCTATTGCTCCAACCCTCAGGGATACTTACCAGAACTTATTATGGGATACTGCT